ACATTCAGATCTGGTTTTAGCTAAAAAATACATTATTATCTGTATCCTAATTTATATTGTGCATTTAATATGCTTAACCTTTGGGTTCATATTGTAGTAGTAGTAGTAAAACTGCATACTTCAGAAGAGGTCAACAACATATTTAACCCACAGTTATGGGCTGTTTAAATGCAGGCTATACAACCCTGTAAGGTTCAAGACCGCAACCAAATATTCCATATTAAAGGAGTAGGTCGCACATAAATGAAAATTATGTCATTATTTACTTGATGTTTACTTGTTTCATACCAGTTTGAGGGTTTTTTTTTTTGTACTGTTGAACACAGAATTAGTTATATTGAAAGATGGTGAAAACCGGTCACCAACAAATACTATAGAGGTTACAGGTTTCCAACATTGTTCAGTATAACTTATTTTGTGTTCAAAAGGAAGAAAAATAAATGGTTTGGAACAAGGGAGTGTAAATGATGAGAGAATTACATTTTCTGAGTAAACTATCCTTTTAAGGACAAACAAATGCATATTATAGAATCTTAAATTGTAGTTACAAAGAGATATAAATAGCAGAACTCAGACCAATTTACTAAACATAAAGCCTATGTGTGCCTGTCAGTGCTTTTGGACTTCATAAAAGCTTATATCTCAAACAATGCTGTCAATAAAAACAAGTTTATAGTGTATTTCACACATTTTCTAGTGCATTTACACCAAAACACCACCTACAATTAGATAATTTCTGTTATGTGCTATACTCTACATTCAGATCTGATTTTAGCTGAAAAAATACATTATTATCTGTATCCTAATTTATACTATGCATTTAATATGCTTAACCTTTGGGTTCATATTATAGTAGTAGTAGTAAAACTGCATACTTCAGAAGAGGTCAACAACATATTTAACCCACAGTTATGGGCTGTTTAAATGCAGGCTATACAACCCTGTAAGGTTCCAGAGTAAGACCGCAAGCAAATATTCCATATTAAAGGAGTAGGTCACACAAAAATGAAAATTATGTCATTATTTACTTGATGTTTACTTGTTTCATACCAGTTTGAGGGTTTTTGTTTTTTTTGTACTGTTGAACACAAAATAAGTTATATCTTAAGAATGGTGGAAACCGGTAACCAACAAATACTATAGAGGTTACTGGTTTCCAACATTGTTCAGTTTAACTTATTTTATGTTCAAAAGGAAGAAAAATAAATGGTTTGGAACAAGTAAATGGAGTGAAAATGACGAGACAATTACATTTTCTGGGTAAACTATCCTTTTAAGGAAAAACAAATGCACATTATAGAATCTCAAATTGTAGTTACAAAGAGATATAAATAGCAAAACTCGATTTACTAAAGAGTACAAGACCGCAACCAAATATTCCATATTAAAGGAGTAGGTCACACAAAAATGAAAATTATGTCATTATTTACTTGATGTTTACTTGTTTCATACCAGTTTGAGTTTTTTTTTTTTTTTTGTACTGTTGAACACAGAATTAGTTATATTGAAGGATGGTGGAAACCGGTAACCAACAAATACTATAGAGGTTACAGTATTCCAACATTGTTCAGTATAACTTATTTTGTGTTCAAAAGGAAGAAAAATAAATGGTTTGGAACAAGGGAGTGTAAATGATGAGAGAATTACATTTTCTGAGTAAACTATCCTTTTAAGGACAAACAAATGCATATTATAGAATCTTAAATTGTAGTTACAAGAGATAAAAATATCAGAACTCAGACCGATTTACTAAACATAAAGCCTATGTGTGCCTGAAAGTGCTTTTGGATTTCATAAAAGCGTATATCTCAAACAATGCTGTCAATAAAAACATTTTCTAGTGCATTTTACACCAAAACACCCCCTACAATTAGATCACTTCTGTTATGTTCTATACTCTACATTCAGATCTGGTTTTAGCTGAAAAATACATTATTATCTGTATCCTAATTTATATTGTGCATTTAATATGCTTAACCTTTGGGTTCATATTGTAGTAGTAGTAGTAAAACTGCATACTTTACAAGAAGTCAACAACATAACTCACCCAATACCATTGTGTTGCACATTAGTGTTATGGGTTGTTTAAATGCAGGCTATACAACCCTGTATTTAAGGTTCCAGAGTACAAGACCGCAACCAAATATTCCATATTAAAGGAGTAAGTCATATAAAAAATTATGTCATCATTTACTTGATGTTGACTTGTTTCATACCAGTTTGAGTTTTTTTTTTTTTTTTTTTTTTTTTTTGTACTGTTGAACACAGAATTAGTTATATTGAAGGATTGTGGAAACCGGTCACCAACAAATACTATAGAGGTTACAGGTTTCCAACATTGTTCAGTATAACTTATTTAGTGTTCAAATGGAAGAAAAATAAATGGTTTAGAACAAGTAAAGGGAGTGTAAATGATGAGAGAATTAAATTTTCTAAGTGAACTATCCCTTTAAGGACAAACAAATGCACATATAGTTATTATAGAATCTTAAATTGTAGTTAAAAAGAGATAAAAATAGCAGAACTCAGACAGATTTACTAAACATTAAACCTATGTGTGCCTGTCAGTGCTTTTGGATTTCATAAAAGCTTATATCTCAAACAATGTTGTTAACAAAAAAAAAAAGTTTATAGTGTTTTTCACACATTTTCTAGTGCATTTACAACTGTGTTGCACATTAACGTTATGGGTTGTTTAAATGCAGACTATAAAACCCTTTATTTAAAGTTCCAGAGTACAAGAACGCAACCAAATATTCCATATTAAAGGAGTAGGTCATACAAAAATTAAAATTATGTCATCATTTACCTGATGTTTACTTGTTTCATACCAGTTTGAGGGTTTTTTAATATATTGTTGAACACAGAATAAACTATATTGAAGGATGGTGGAAACTAGTAACCAACAAATACTATGGAGGTTACTTGTTACAGGTTTCAACATTATTCGGTATAACTTATTATGTTTCAACGGGAAGAAAAAATGGTTTGGAACAAGTAAAGGGAGGGTAAAAAATGACAGAACTTTTTTTTTGGGATGAACTGTCCCTTTAATGAAAAACAAATTTCCATATAGTATCTCAAATTGTAATTACAAAGAGATAAAAATAGCCGATATACTAAACGTGTGCCTGTTACTGCTTTTTAGACTTTACAAAAGCTTACATCTCAAACAATGTTGTCTATAAAACAAGTTTATAATGAATTTGACACATTTTCTGGTGCATTTTATATCAAAATACCCCTTAAAACTGGATATATTTTGTTATGTGCTGTACTCTACATTAAAAGATGCATAATTATCTGTATCCTAACATATGTTGTGCATTAGCAATATGCTTAACCTTTGGTTTTATACTGTAGTAGTAGAAATGCTTAGTCAAGCACATAAATCACCCAATATCACTGTGTTTCACATTAGCGTTATGAGTTGTTTAAATGCAGGGTTCAGTTGTACAGTTTCCATTTACGGATAAAAAAAAAACATATTCACACTTGTCAAAAGGCTGAAAAACACATCAACAGGAGCAACAAAAGGGGCAAAGGACATGATGGATGCTAACAACAACAAGACCATAAAGCGAATGAATCAACACGGCAACGATACACAAGTGGAAAAGCACAGCCCCTCGTGTACATTTCACAATAAAGCACTAAAATGAAATATCACCTTTTACTTCTATCACTGTGAAGGCAAAACAAATAAAGCCTCTTAGTCATACACTTCTGCTTTACATTCGTTGGCGAACTTCATTAATTCGCCCTAACAATTATTTAATCTAACCTTGTTTCCCAGGATGTAGTTGCCATTATAACTTCTTTCAAGGACACTAGCTTTATCATATTTTCGAGCTTCTGAAATGGATCCCTTGGGATGTTCATTACTTTCAATGGGAAATATCCACAACCACCACAAAGATTTACCTACAATCCACTGAATCAACAAAACAAGTGGACATGATGGCAGTCCCATAAGTTAGATGCCCTACAGATCTCACCCTTGTTCTAACATTTCCATGATGGTGATGATCCTTAAGATGACCTTTGCGGAGAGCCGTTTATAATTAGACCTGCAGACACTGAATCTATTTCCACTATGAAGATTGCCTTTGCTTTTGCTGCTCTAGGGCTCGAAAAGAAATGTACTTTGTATTGTGTATGTACTCTGACTCCCCCGAGTAGCTGTTTCACAGCAAAAGGCTTTACGTTTATTTTCTCAAGCTCCTCTATGCCTGGACCTGTGCCTTATCATATTTCACGGGGAGAACCTATGCCACTGAATAAATTATTTCATGCAATTGCTCAACAAATGTCAAGCAGCCATAAGTAGCCATGTGGTGGGATTAGGATATAAGGATCAGCAATGTGTACCTTTAATTAAGTCCTGAACTAATGAATTGTTCGACAAATTGCATGATTAAGGAAAGTCTCTTCAACCTCTCAATAATCAGGTCACTGCTACCTTGAAACCAAAATGAGGCAAATATTTATCTTGGAACCAGACCAATATATTTGTTCTTACATTTCGTCAGTCTCCTTTCTCCTTTAAACAAGCAGTCGCAATTTATCTGACTCAACGGCCCTTTGCTCGGGGTGTTGCATGTTGTTGATAATGCAAAAACACACAGAGGATAGGAAAGGAGCAATGCACTGAGACTTGACCCAGTATGTGAAACTGAACGTTATTTGTAAGAATAAAAGAATAGACATTCCCCAAATCAGTCGATACAAACATGAGCAGGTGTTTTTGGCTCGAGGAAGGTTTATCTTACTACTGTATATCTGATGTTAAAGAAGTAAGCAAAACTTTGATTACAAGACTGAGAACATATGACTCAAGTTGCCATGCACTGACCCATGTTTCCTACCCATCAGGGGAACAGCTAGCAGCGGAAAAAAAGGGGGGAGACAACACACTTTTTGCCTCACTCACATAGACTGGACATTTACCTCTTATTCCCCGCAGTGGTAATGGATTTTAGGAGGGCGACGGATCATACCTCACATTCTCGGGAGCCGGAGATGGTGTAGGTACAGGGTCCTGTCCCATTGACCAGTACGTCCATGGTTTCTGAGTTTGTGGGTTTGTAGTCCACATAATATTCCTGAAGCGGAGAGCTGAGGGTGCGCTCTGTCTCCCGTGCCTTTTTCCGGCGTTTTCGCACCATGGAATGCTGCTGCAGTTGCTTCATGCTGCTGGGATAACGCTTCCAGGAGACATAGATCACTAGCAAGATCATGGCCACGGATAAGAAGAGGGCGACACTGCCGGCTATTATCTTGTGGAATGAAACATGCTCAAAGTCCTGCTCAGGGACAGGTGGGGATGCTGCCGTCGGAGACGGTGCAACAGCATTGTTCCGAGTTATTTTCTCATTTACTCTGAACATAGTGGGCAGGGGGAAACGTTTGGCTTTGGATGGGGAACTTACAGTAGAGGACATCGTCAGATAAGGGGTTGGGGTTGTCTTGCAAATTCCATGCGTGTCAATGGCCTCTATAACTTTCTCACCCTGAATCTCCTTCGGTCCTGCACAAATCATGGTGGTCTCTTTGTTCCCCTTGAAGTTCCTCAGCCAAGCTACAAGAGGGCATAAGCTGGGGTTGCATTCCCAAATGTTCCCTGCAAGACTGATGGTAGTAAGCGAGATCCAAGCCGAGATGGCCTCTTGAGACACGTTGCTTAATTTATTAGAGTCCAGATTAAGGGTCTGCAAGTTAGGGAGACACTGGAAGATGCTCGAATCCAACACCTGCAGGTCATTCCCGGAGAGATCCAGCTTTTGCAAAGAGGTCCAGGTCCATGTAATTCCCTGGGTTATCGACTTTATCCGATTCCATTGCAGATACAAAGCACGGAGGTTGTTCAGCCTTGGGAAATGAGAAAAATTGATCTTTGAGAATTGGTTGTGCTCCAAGTGTAACTCGGTCAGTTTGAGAAGCCCCGCAAATGCATTACGAGTTAGACTTCGCAGTCTATTATACCCCAAATCAAGGAACTCCAGATTTCGACAATCCTGAAACACTCGCATAGGAACCGTCTTGAGGGAGTTTGATCTGATGTGGAGACTCAACAGTTTGCGCAAGCCTTGAAATTGATTTGGCTGCAGGATTTGAAGTTTGTTGTAGGAGAGGTCCAGGTTGCGTAGGTTGGGAATCGAATGGAACGTGCTGTTTTCCAAATGAGTGATCTTGTTGGAGCTGAGAATCAACTCCTTTAGTCTTCGAACACCCTGAAAGGCTTGTTTGTCCACTCCACTGATGTAGTTGTGGTCAAGGTACAGCCAGACTAACTGGCTGAGGCTGGCAAACTGACCAGCCCTGAGGTTCACCAAGCTGTTGTACCGCAGAGAAAGTCCCTGGCATCCAATGGAAACGTTCTTTGGCACATCGCGGAAGGCATTTGACTCACAATATACTATTTTGCCATCGCAGCGGCAGCTTCGGGGACATGGTTTCTCTCGGACTCTGCCTTGGGATGCCAAGAGCCAGGCCTGCACGAGCAGGGGGATCATCAGCCAACGGGATCTCACCAGGGACCCTGCATTAAACACAAAAAGAAAGAAAGGATGAGCCATAATTTGGTCAGTACTCCTCCTTGTTTGGCATTACAGTTAACTGATGATTACTTCCTTGCAAAGATTAGTTAATACATAATTAGTCTCATTTTGCATCAGAGTATATAGTAAATCTTCACAGAATAATATTTTGTATATACAGTTGAAGTCAGAATTATTAGCCCCTCTTTGATTTTATTTTTCTTTTTTAAATATTTTCCAAATGATGTTTAACAGAAGGAAAAAGGACATTTTCACAGTATGTCAGATAATATTTTTTTCTTCAAGAGAAAGTCTTGTTTTATTCCGGCTAGGATAAAAGCAGTTTTTATTTTTATGAACCATTTTAAGTTCAAAATAATTAGCCCCTTTAAGCTTTTTTTTTTTTTTCAACGGTCTACAGAGCAAACTACTGTTATACAATAACTTGCCTAATTACCCTAACCTGCCTAGTTAACCTTATTAGTCTAGATAAGCCTTTAAATGTCACTTTAAGCTGTATAGAAGTGTCTTAAAAAATATCTAGTCAAATATTATGTACTGTCATCATGACAAGGTTAAAAAAAATCAGTTATTAGAAATGAGTTATTAAAACTATTATGTTTAGAAATGTGCTGAAAAAAGCTTATTTTTGTTCAAAAGAAATTGGGGGTAAAATAAACAGGGGGCCTAATAATTCAGGGGCGCTAATAATTCTGACTTCAACTGTATAAGTATGAATTTATGTGCTGCTTCAAGTGGGAATTTTATTTACCTTCTTTTTCGTTTGGCAATAATGAGATTATTATGCAAATGGCCCTTGTAGCGGAGCATTTGGCGTTCTTAAAATTATGTCAGGCTCAATTGATTTTCCTTGCTTATTTCATGTACTTTAATTACAAACGAAAGCAAATATACACATTCATTTTGTGGCAACCAAAAAAGCAAGACACTCAAGAGTAACTTGACTTGTTTTTTTATTAAAATAATGCAGAAAAACAGTACTTCCCCTAAAGGTTTCCTCAATAATCATAATTACACTGCCTGTGTGGTAGAGAATCCAGACTGTTAAAATAACAGATCGCATCTCCTCTGCTCATGGTCAACAGTATGACATTATCACACAATATACAGTTGAAGTCTAAATTATTAGCCCCGCTTAGATTTTTTTTTTCCTTTTTAAATTTTTCCCAAATGATGTTTAACAGAGCAAGGAAATTTTCACAGTATGTCTGATAATATTTTTTCTTCTGGAGAAAGTCTTATTTGTTTAATTTCGGCTAGAATAAAAGCAGTTTTATTTATTTTTTTTTTATTTAACATTTTAAGTACAAAATTATTACCCCTTTTAAGCTATATATTTTTAATAGTCTACAGAACAAACCATCATTATGCATTAACTTGCCTAATTACCCTAACCTGCCTAGTATACCTAATTAACCTACCAATAAAATAAGAAAACAGAACAGAAACAGAAATTGAGGGAAAATTTTTACGGGGGTGTGGTGGTGGGTGGGTGGGGGGGGGGGGTTAATACAGGGGGCTAATAATTCTGACTTCAAATGTACACAAATAAATATATTCAAAGATTACTGTGTCAACCAAGAAAGAAGATAGAAACAAAAGCAAGACAGCAACATTGAAGAGAGAGAGAGAGATAGATTGGGCCTGCATGTCCTTGTGATTGTTTTGTTCTCTAAATGAATAAGGGTAGAATCAAATGTGCATTGCTTCATGATAAAAGCCCTAAATCCTTGTGCAGTATCCAAAATCTTAAAGCACTCCAGCTGGGTGAAAAATATACATGGTCACATTCCCTTTACTGAAAATTCTCCCTATCTTTGGTGTGCTGATGACAAGTAGTGATGAGATGTTATGATTCATGAGTCAACTTTTTTAAAAATCTGATGAATCATTTAATCCAGTTCACAACTGAATAATTTGCGATTCGAAATGATTCATTCACAAATTAAACTGATGTGGTTCTCCGGCTCAACTAACTCACTCAATGAGCCGGTCACGGAGGTTAACAGCTCACTAGAGAAGAAGATAATTAGTGAATAATGATGTAAATCTAGGTCTTTTCATTACAAAGCTATCTGATGAATCAGAATACAGTGCATGAGTCAGACTATTTTTGTGATACGTTTACGGTGCTTTTGCGCTCTTTTTGGAGCTTGAAAGCGTTACTGTAATTGCACGGAAAACCCAGCCTTTCCCTTTCTGTGCTGCCTGGAAGAAATATGGGTTTCACAGTGTAAATAAATGACTATTTTAAGAGAGAAGATTTGAAATAAATGACAACATCTTTGCCAATCGATGAAGGACAATGAACATTTCCTTTCCCCCCGTTGGCTGGCTCAGTGTCTCTTTATGCTTTGTTATCTGATTGTTCTTCAGTTTGGGCAAAAATGAAGCTAAGGGTGTGCCAAAGTTGATAACAGTCCTTTCTCTCCTGCTCTCGGAGCAAAAACCGGAAATTATTGGTTTATCTTGAGTGGCCAACACAAAAGGCTTACCATCTGATCCTTTAATCATATTACAACTATTGAGTACATATAAAAGTGATCGTATAAATGCTCAATGGTGAGCAGCAATGCGTTTGAATCCTCCGGTCTGACCACTGTTTACTAGCCTCCAGATTCAGATCTAATCGAAACATTTTGTGTAGGTCAATTGAATGAAACGGGCTAATCTAATAGTCTTGAAGACAGAGCGTAGGCTGGCCGAACAACCTGTTATCTACAGGACAATCAGTTCAGTGTGGCATTACAAATTGCCTTTGAATTCATTTGAAATAATGAGAGAAAAACACAGTCCCTAATCTTCTTTTGAGGAGTCTCGAGTTATAGCACAAATAAGTCATGTTTATTGTGTAGCTTAAGGCCTATTTACGTATTTTAAGTAACTGTCTATGTTGCTGTATATTTTAAAGTGCTATAGTAAAAACACAGTACAGTGCTTCCCACAGGTTTGAAATATACTTGAGGTGGTAGCTCAGGGGCGGACTGGGACAAAAATTCAGCCCTGGCAATGTAGCCACACTAGCCCACTACCACAACAGCCCCACCCACAGTACCACACATTCACTACTTCTGGTGTACAGATGGTGAAATAATAGCAGTACTATACGTAATAGATATTTAAACATTTGGGGCTCTATTTTGACGGTCCATGCGCAAAGCGCAAAACGCAGGGCGCAAATGCTTTCAGGGCGTGTCAGGACGCGTTTTTGCTAATTTAAGGACGGGAAATCTGCCTTGCGCTTCGGCGCATGGTCTAAAAGGGTTGAGTTTATTTTCTTAATGAGTTATAGGTGTGTTTTAAGAATAAACCAATTACAGTCTCATCTACCATTCCCTTTAAGAGTCAGCTGCGTCGCGCCAAGAGAGCATTACAGGACGCAAAGTAAGTCTAAGTGGAAAAAATGAGCATTTCACTAGCAAACAGTTAACAGTTGATAGTTTTTTTTTAACAGAAAACCGTTAAACAGAGCATCTACTGCGTGAGAATGAGGATAATGGATCCCTTTCACTTTCGCTCTTGGATAGGGAAACCTTTACGCACAGACATCAATTAGTCTATAAATAAATACTTTTGTTTGTTAAGTGCAAATATTCGTTTCAAAACTATTTCTAAATTCAGTTCTAATATTCAAATGAATAATAATAGCAAAATGTGTTATATCCTAAAACACATGCTGTGCCCCATATGGTCTAAAACAGGTGGGCAAATCTAAGCTTGTTTTTAATAAAAAAATATACATATGGATATAATAAATAATACTGCTAATAATAATAATAACATTATACAAAAGCAAATTGTTATGAATGAACTGAAAAAGCCTCCCGAGATGAAGAAGACATAAAAGCAGTGATTTTTCATATTTATGTAGGCTAGAAAATAATATGTTTTGTAATATTTTAATCCTTTATATTTATATTCTATATCTATTCTTATTATATCCTATATATATCCTTAATATTTAAATTTTTTCATATGTAAAGATATTTGCCTATTGCTCTCTTGTGCGTATTAAGCAGTGCGTGAGCGAGGCGCAACTCTGCGCCGCAGTTTAGACCGGGTTAGTTTTGGTCTAATGAAAAATCTATTATAGTTTCTCAAAATAGCAACGCGCCAGCGGTCCGCCTCAGAACGCCTAATGAGCCACAAATGAGCGCTAATGCATTTGCTATTTAAACAGCGTAGCGCAACGCCTCAAAACAACTCTTGCGCCAAGCTTAAATTACCAAAAGACTACTGCGCCACGCCTTGCGCCACACTGCGCCGGGTGTATGATAGGGCCCTTGATGTATGTGACTGAAACAAAAACAACCTGTTTATATCAAATTTATACATATGTAAACACTAAATAAAAAATAATCTGTGCATCTTGTCGAGTCCGTTGGCTGTCTGTTAATACCGTTTGTCTGCTATAACTTATATTAGGAGTAACCTGTGAATGTGCACACACCTTTACACACAAATGGACATGCAGCACTAGCAACACTTCAGCATAATTTTATTCACAAATCACTATATATGTCATTCTCTGCAGTGTCTCTGCAGGTCATTTATTGCCACTGTCTATATGTCGGCTTCTTGTATCTAAGTTGGCATTGTACAAATTGTCTGATGCTACATCTTCTCAACCCTTTTAACTCTCTCACTTATTTGGATCACTGCTTATGCTAGGCTATGCCTCATTATTCTTTTGAATAATAAGGTGCTTATTAAACAATTATAGGTGACCTAATGAATAAATATTAATAATTATGACCTAATGTAGAGTCTCTTGCTGCACGAAATCAGGCAGCCATCGCCGATTGGGCCAAATGCTTAACATTTATTATTATTATTTTTTTATTATTATTATTACTATTATTATTATCCTCATCATCATAATATCACATCTAGCAATAGATAAAAGCTGCCTGCATGTAAAAACAATACACATAAAAAAAAATAAATAAATAAAAATGAGCGGCCCACATTTAAAAAATGG